GTGCTGGCTGATATTCAAACAGGGGATGGGCTGGAGATGTCACTGCCTTGATCCTTTCTCTTCCAAAAGGTAGAAGTGTAGGGAGATGCCCTATCGCAACTCTGTGACCTTCTTTCATTGTAGGCTGAAGGATATAAAATTGCTCTTTAGGGTGGGAAACAACAGGAACTATGGAGACCCCATAGCTTAGTGACAGATCCCATCATTTTGTGTGCAAAAGATTCAATCTTTGTCATCTTCAAAAAGAGCTGGAAAAAAAATATAATTCCTGACCAAAATCCTAGTGAGTTTCTAACAACCAGAGATAACAGTACTGACCTATATGGACCAGTGGTTTGGGTTAGTATAAGGCAGATACGCATGTTTCTCTATTACCATTACACAAAGGGAAATGTTTTTCATTGCATTATTAGAGTTAATTATTGTCTAGCTTTCTTGTTATATTACTGAATATCATGTTCAGTAACAGATTCTAACATTGATGCTTAAAATAAGACTCATATTTTTTCTTTGTGGGTCTGTGTAACCTCCCACTGCGATGGTTTACAGAACAATCCGGCTGAAACAGAGAACAGTTGGATAAAAATATTTTGCTTCCTATATATTTCCACCACAGGCTATTTTGTCTCCAAACACACATACGTTTCCCCAGAGGATTTTCTTCGTGACAGATAATTTAAGGAGAACCACACACCTTGGCATCTTCATTTAAAGTCTTCCAAGGAAGCCAAAAATATCTAGGGTCATCAGTTTTTCAAATAAACAACTTTAAGAAAATTTGACAGTACACAATACAGTTCTCAAAGCACCTTGTTGATATAACTACACCACAATCTCAGTGAAAACATATAGTTCTCTCAGAATACTTGGTCCAGAGTTGTGTGTTACAAAAACACGCTAAATCCAGAAAAACTAAATTTAGCCACCTCTATATACTGTACACAACACATTCGAATGCATATATTTATTTGATTTGCATAATTTGTTTTTCTTCCTGCTCAGTTGGCCATGCCTTCTAGTCCACAAAATCCCATCCTGTTTCATTTCCTACTGATTCTGTTTTTCCAGACCTTGGAAAGTTACTTTTCAGACAAATGAATACATTTGACATGCTACAGCCAATTGGATCTCAGAGTAATCACCTAAACCCCTGCTTAGTTATGGATATTAATTCTTCTTAAAAATAACTTTCTGAACACTCTCTCCTACTCCTTTCTATTCCATTAGCATTTCATGACCAACAAGCATGCTCTGTCTTCATTAAATTGTTTGTAAGAATGCCACATCACCTTACTCTTCCTCTCTAAATAATTTCATGTGTTTCTACAAATTGACAGACATCAGCCAACCTTACAGATATCTCCAATTGCAATTTGATGGTGGTGTTCTTTTGTGTACATAAAATATAAGAAAAAAGAGGAAATTATTTCCATGAGCCTTTGCCCAGAGGTATTCAACTCATAGGGGGGGGGGGAGCACATTAAATGCCACTTTCAATGAACCAGTGAGGAATGGTTTCAAGATCTGAAGGTCGATCATAGAATGAGTATTAATTCTGTTATTTTTGCTATATAAAATGCTCAGTCCTAAAATGCCCAGTTTGTCCTTGATTTTCCATATTCTAACCAACATAAACCAAAGAAGAGATAATGTGGCATTGCTCTCTTATACTGTAGTGAAACACCATCCTATATGGATTCTTCCAAACTAGTTTAAAGAGATATAGCACCTTCCACTACAGCTCCTTGAGTTTTTTTTAATTTGCTGTCTGCCCTGTGTCATTCCATTCCATTCCTTATGACAGTGTTCATATCACTTTTTTGCAACTACACAGGGGATAAGTGCTCTTTTAGTCCCCCCAACTACACAGGGGATAAGTGCTCTTTTAGTCCCCCTCACCTTGTCGTTGTGAGGGGGCTTGCGTGTTCCAATGAACCTGTCAGACCAAGCATAATTCAAAGACCTCAACTGTGGATCAGGCAGATCAGGTGGAAGACAACATGGTACATGTTACAAAGGCTGTGAAGGCAGAAGAAGGCTGCAACAGATTGAGAAGCCACAATGGTCATGCCACTGGGTGGGGCCCTCATTCTGTGAAGACTGTGTGTTGATCGGCTGTGTACTGATCTCCTCACATTAAAAAAATTCACACACAGGCATTTTCTAAATTAACACTTGGAAGGCCATCATATTCGGACAATGAGGGGTTGCCTAAATTAAGAAGCTCTTTTAGTTTCTGGTGCCTAGATGTCATTGAACGGCCACGGGTGCCCCCGGTGGCGCAGTGGGTTTAACCCCTGTGCTGGCAGGACTGAAGACCGACAAGTCGCAGGTTCGAATCCAGGGAGAGGCAGATGAGCTCCCTCTACCAGCTCCAGCTCCTCATGCGGGGACATGAGAGAAGCCTCCCACAAGGATGATAAAAACATCAATTCATCCGGGCGTCCCCTGGGCAATGTCCTTGCAGGCAGCCAATTCTCTCACACCAGAAGCTACTTGCAGTTTCTCAAGTCGCTCCTGACACGACATTGAACGGCAACTGCCACGTGAACTGCTGATAATGAGAATTGCAGCCCAAAAGCACTTGTGGCTCTGAGGTTGGGGAAAGGTTAAAGGACATTTTAAAGTTAGGCATCATGTCCACAAGCCTTGTATCTAAATTCAAACCTAAACAGAACAAACTGCAGCCTTCCAGTTGTTACTGTATCACAACTTCCATCAGCTCTAGTCATGATGTCTAATGATGGGGAATACGTGAATTTTAGTTCAGGAGGATCACATAAAAAGACAGGGAGGGGCAGATTTGGCCTACACACCTTAAGTTTGACACATATGATCTACACCTAGACTCTTCCATTTTTTAAAACTGAAGGTGTGGCTTGCTGAAATAATAATTTGAAGGGCAAACTTTCTCCTTTTTTATTATGATTTTTTAGAGTTGAAGAATTGTATTATATGAGTGTTCCTTCACTCATGCAATATAACTCTTCAAAAAAGGGGAAATAACAGACTGCGGAAACTATCGAGGTATCTCCCTTCTAACTTCCACTAAGAAAATCCTCGCAAGAATCCTTGCAAACTGCCTTCTACCCCTCTCAGAAGACACCTTCCCAGAATCCCAGAATGGCTTCCACAGTGGACATAATTTTCACTGCACGACAGCTCCAAGAAAAATGCAAGGAACAAAGTCAACTACTGTACATGGCATTCATTGACCTTGCAAAGGCATTCAACACAGTGAATCGCAGCGCTCTCCGACCATCCTCCAAAAAACTGGGTGCCCTGACAAATTTGTGAACATCCTGCGGCTCCTCCCTGATGACATGATGGCAACAGTCTTGGTCAGCAATGGCTCCCAAAGTGACCCATTTAAGGTGGAATCAGGTGTCAAACACGCATGTGTTATTGCTCCAACTTTATTCTCCATCTTCATTGCTATGATACTTCACCTTGTTGATGGGAAGCGTCCCACCGGAGTGGAAATAATCTATCAGACAGATGGCAAGCTGTTTAACCTCAGCAGACTGAAAGCCAAAACCAAGGTTACAACAACATTTGTTATAGAACTCGAGTATGCTGATGACAACGTCATCTGTGCACATTCAGAAGAAGACCTACAAGCCAGTCTAAACACCTTCGCAGAAGCATACGAGAAGCTCGGCCTGTCATTGAACATCGAGAAAACCAAAGTGCTCTTCCAGCAGTCACCAGCCAATCCCTCTCCAATGCCAGAAATACAACTTAATGGTGTAACATTAGAAAATGTTGACCATTTCTGCTACCTTGGCAGCCACCTCTCCACAAAAGTCAACATTGACACTGAAATTCAACACCGCCTGAGCTCTGCGAGTGCAGCATTTTTCCGAATGAAGCAGAGAGTGTTTGAGGACCGGGACATCCGTAGGGATACCAAGGTGCTTGTTTATAAAGCTATTGTCCTCCCAACCCTGCTATAGGCCTGCGAGACGTGGACAGTCTACAGACGTCACATGCAACTCCTAGAACGATTCCATCAGCACTGCCGCCGAAAAATCCTGCAAATCTCTTGGGAAGACAAGGGGACAAATGTCAGCGTGCTGGAAGAAGCAAAGACCACCAGCATTGAAGCGATGGTCCTCCACCATCAACTCCGCTGGACTGGCCATGTTGTCCAGATGCCTGACCACCGTCTCCCAAAGCAGTTGCTCTATTCCAAACTCAAGAACAGAAAATGGAATGTTGGAGGACAGGAAAAGAGGTTTAAAGACAGGTTCAAAGCCAACCTTAAAAACTGTGGCATAGACACTGAGAACTGGGAAGCCCTGGCCCTTGAGCGCTCCAGTTGGAGGTCAGCTGTAACCATCAGTGCTGTAGAATTTGAAGAAGCACGAATGGAGGGCGAAAGAGAGAAATGGACCAAGAGGAAGGCGCATCAAGCCAACTCTGACCAGGGCCGCCTTCCACCTGGAAACCGATGCCCTCACTGTGGGAGAAGATGCAGATCAAGAATAGGGCTACACAGTCACTTACGGACCCCCCGCCAGGACACTATATTTGAAGGACCATCATCCACGGACTACAAGGGATCGCCTAAGTAAGTATAACCCTAAGAAAAGCTTATTTTAAAAAAGCAAAGCTGGGAAGACATTTTATTCTAATATATTTTGGAATTAAACTCACTGGAGATAAGGGATAAAATGTGACATCTTATGCAGGAACTACCAGAAAGTAGTCCAGGGCAATGAAAAGGTTATTTAGATATTTTTTTAAAGCCTGAAGACTATAGCAACAGATACTACACATTTCTATCATATTTGCCCGATCTGGAGATTTTAGTAGTGCGGAGTATTTTCCAGAACTTGAAAAATTACTGCTTGAGTTAATGTTTCCAGATTCTCTTATGCCTGAGCATGCTGTAGTCCAGAGAAGTAATTTTTCTAAACTCTGAAGGGGTCACTGTATTCTACTACTATAAACTCTTGAGCTTCTCAGAATTTGAGATTTCAGAATCAGACACCTACCTTTAAGTTTGAGATCCACATTATGTCTCAGCCAAGGATAGATTCCATAGCTTGAGGAGTCTTCAGGAATTGGATTATTTTGTATCCAGCCCTCACAAGCAAACCGGAAAAAATTATCACAGGGATCCACAGATGTATTGAGCTTGCTTTTGATTGCAGCAGCTGGAAAGATGTAGATAATTTCATGTAAGATCTTTGGCATTACAATATGCATTCAATATTATTGTTCAAATTGCATGCAAATTCTCTCTACATTTCCTGAATCCAAATACTGATAGCAAATAACAGCAATAATGCATTACCCATATATACTTCTGAACAGAAGGTGTTTGTGATTCCAAGCCAAATCTTGGCTTTTTACACAGGCCTTTGGGACACAATCACTTCATCCAAACCTGTATCCATATATGTTTTTGAATTGTGTGTTATTTTAACTTTTTTTAATTATGCTGTTGCTTAATTTGTATTTTATACTTTTTATTTTAAATTGTTATTGCTCTTTCTTTAAATTGTTCAAACTGATTTTATTTTAAACTGTCCTGGGATCTTATGACACGATATAAATATTTAAATAAAATACTTGAAGGCTCATCTTTTCTTATGTTTGACTTCCTGAACAGTGAAATCCCCTGGACAGTTCACCTTCTGCATTCTTCCAGCAAGAGAATTACATTATGTGGAAAGTCAGCAAGGAGAATTCCCTGCTTTGGCTGACTACTTGATTACTCCCATTTCCCCACATCCATTCCTGCTTTGGTGTTCATTTTCCATTTTTATTGTACTTGTTCTTAATTTTCATGTTGTTGAAGGGTTGTTATAACCATATAAAATTAAAAGAGGGGAACAGTTTTGTCAGCCAAAGCAACGTGTGGTCCCAAATGTTTGCATACAATGTTTATATCTTCCTGGACGGTGTTACAAAGATATTACAGTATAGCAATATGGATGTGGACATTTATCTGCGTCAGAAGCAGGTGTCACATATCTGCCAGTCTTATCAAATGTCATCAAATGAATTAAAAGGCATGGCCCGACTTACCAGGCCAAAGAAGTTGCGGTGCAGGGCGTCCCCCACCGCCATTCTTGCCTTGGGGGGGGGCTTCTTCCTCCCAGAAGCCCCCTCGGATGGTGGGAAGGTTTCCCACCGGCAGGTCTATTAACCAATGACCAACTGACCACGCCCGCTGCAGGAGAGGCCTGAGCTGGCCTCTCCCTCCATGTGGGCAGCCTTTATAAGGCTGCCCCTGGCTCTCCAGCAGGCACTGAGCCTGCAACACCTGATCCATCCCACCCACCCTGCATGTGGTTTACGTTTTCATTGGCGGTTAACTTTTGTGGTTGTTTACCTTGTCCTGGTTACCTGTTAACAGTTTCTTGTTGTTTTATGCTCCTTGTCACAACTCCTTGTTGGCGTGTGGCATGGGCCCTGGATCTGGTTTGGTATCCCCCCCTAGCAGAAAGGGGGGACGCCCGGTGGTCCCAGGGGTGCCGAGTTGCATTTGCACAGTATTGTGCCAGCGGCACCCTGGCGTGTGCGGGATCGGGCAGTATTGGGCTGCCCGATCGTGATCCAGGACCCATGCTTGGCTGCCAACCCTTGTTTCTGTTATCAATAAATGAGTTGTGGCCATTGTTCATCCCAACATCATGTGTGAGCGTACTTCTTGGGTTGGCTGTGGGAGGTGTATCGCACTTGCACACGCAACTTCACAATATCTGGGCTCTCCCAGAACTATGTAACTGGTCACATTGGGAAACAGGATTCTGGATTAGATTAGCCTACGAAGTTGATGAGGACATCTGGATAGTTTTCTGCCCGCTATTGCATTGCATAGACAATTTGATTTTACCCAGCAAAGGTATTGTAATGTTCTTACAGAGGCAACGCCACTGCATTCCAAGTTTAACATGAAAAGCCTTAGATTCTGTTTTTTAAGTACTAACTGGTATTTATTAATGTTTTTTGAAATACTTATTGGACTTCTAACACATAAAAATTTATGTTCTCCATGCCAGTGTTCTATAACTATTAATACTACAATTAATATTAGATCACTTACCAGCTTCAATGCATTCAGAAGTCAAGCAATACTGTTGCTTGGGCTGAAGTTTTATATGGCCTTGGCTAACTGCAAAAGAGACAATAAAAATGGATTATCATTTGTTCTTTTGAGTCAAAGTCATTATGACCTATGTGACTGGAGAACATCTCAGAAACATACACAAATAAAAATGACAGCGGAAACTGTATTAGTCCATAAGGGAGAAAGTCCAAAATCTCTCAATCAACTTTTCCTGAACTGCAGCTTTTGTAATTTCATACTAATTTGTAATTTTACACTAAACTATTGGTGTAATATATTATCATTAGAAACTCCCATGTGCTCCAGTTATAGATCATGTTTTTTATATATTACAAGATTCAGAAACCAAGAAGAAGAGGAAGAAGCATCATCATATATTTATATGGGATAGGGTTGTACAATTTGGGTCCCCTCAAGTTGTTTAGCTTCAGCCCCTACTATCTTGCAGGTGAGATTCAAGAACAAATTGGGTCCATTAGCGGATAGTGCTATTATAGTGTATTCCTGAATGGCATGGAGGTAGGCTGGATGGCCCTTGTGGTCTCCACCAACTCTATGATTCCAAAGTGGAATTGTAACTTTTAATGTTGGTCTACACTGACAGAGAAATGGACTAAACCAACAATAGCATATAGAGAGGCTGAAGCAGATATGGTGTTGGGTTCTTACAGAATGTGCGGGCTCTGGTGGGCAGTATGGCAGCATAGAGGCAAAGGCCACAGATGTACATAGGACCTTAAAGGGGAGGAGTCCTGCTTTGTGGGATTACTTGCTTTGGAGCAATACAGTCAGTCAGATTACCCAGGGAGTGAATGAGTATATTCCAAAGGCTAACATATACAACATTAGGGAACTAGAACAAATTATGAACATATTCAAAAGCACTTTTGAAAAATGACCAAGTCACTATGTATTTACACCAAAGATAATGGAGGTTATCCCAGCAATCTTCCAATATAGTGCACAATCAGCTTGCTGTCATACATTTGGGGTTGTGCATGATGGAAATGCAGAAATGTTGTAACTTACGAAGTGGTTTCTGAGAATGTATTGAGCTGATGTCTGGAAGCACCAAACGAGACTCTTGTTTTGCCAATAATGTGATGGCAAAGGACAAACTGGCTTTGATTGTCTTTTACTGGCAGTTCACGCATATATATATATCTTCTGAATTTTTGGCAATAGGATATCTTTGAAACTCAGCACAGACACATGGCAATACCAGCAAAGTAGCAACACAAATTTCATTTTTGGATTGAGTTATTCATTTCACTCTGGTCTTCCAAAGTCTGTCATTAGTTATGCTTGCTGCGGCTGATAGAACTTTCAGTCCAACAGCAACTGGAGAGCTGCAGATTCCACTATCCTGATGAAAATAAACAACTGGCCAATTTCTAACCTCCCTTTTTTGGGCAAGGTTCTGGAGCAGGTGGTCGCCTCCCAATTCCAGGGATTCTTGGACTACACCGATTATCTAGATCCATCACAGTCTGGTTTTAGGCCTGGACATGCTACAGAGACAGCTTTGGTCACCTTGGTGGATGACCTCTGAAGAGAACTTGACAGGGGGAGTGTGTCCCTGTTGGTTCTCCTGGATATCTCAGTGACTTTCAATACCATCAACCATGTATCCTTCTGGGGCGGCTCTCCGAAATGGGGCTTGGGGGCTTTGCTTTGCAGTTGCTCCGCTCTTTCCTTGAGGGTTGCTCCCAGTTGGTGAAGCTGGGGGATTCCTGCTCGGACCTGTGGCCTTTGATCTGTGTGGTCCAGCAGTGCTCCATTCTATCCCCCATGCTTTTCAATATCTACATGAAACTGCTGGGTGAGGTCATCCGGAGTTTTGGTGTTGGGTGCCATCTGTATGCAGATGACATCTAACTCTACTACTAATTTCCACCTAATTCCAAGGAAGCATCCCAGACCCTGAACCAGTGTCTGACAGCTGTGGTGTACTGGATGAGGGCTAACAGGTTGAAACTTAATCCAGACAAGACAGAGGCCCTCCTGGTCAGTCATGGGGCAAGTCGGGGTATTGGGTAGCAACTTGTGCTCGACGGGGTTACACTCCCCCTGAGGGCGCAGGTCCGTAGCTTGGGTGTCCTCCTGGATTCAACACTGTCACTTGATGCTCAGGTGTCAGCGGTGGCCGGGAGGCCCTTTGCACAACTCAAACTTGTGCGCCAGCTGCGACCATACCTCGTGAAGTCTGATTTGGCCATGGTGTTCCATGCCTTGGTTACATCCAGATTGGGCTATTGCAATATGTGGGGCTACCATTGAAGATGGCCCAAAGCTCCAACTGGTACAACGGGTGGCAGCCAGGCTCCTTACTGGAGCAAACTATATGGAGCATACAACGCCCCTATTAAAACAGCTTCATTGGCTGCCTATAAGTTGCCGAGCCAAATTCAAGGTGCAGGTCATGACCTATGAAGCCCTAAACAGTTCCGGCCCCGCCTATCTTTGCAATCACATCTCCATCTATGAACCGGCACAAACTCTAAGATCCTCCGGGGAGGCCCTCCTCTTGCTCCCACCTCCATCACAAGCATGGTTGGTGGGGATGAGAGAGAGGGTCTTCTCAGTAGTGGCCCCCGCCTCTGGAATGCCCTTCCAAGGGAAATAAGACATGCTCCATCCCTCCCCTCTTTCGTAAGAGTTTGACTTGGTGGTTTCAGCAAATCTTTGAGAGTGACCAGTGCTAGCTCAGCCCAGGCACTCTCCGGACACGACATAGCTCCCTATATATTACCCTGGTCAATCTCCTAACATGCCCCTGGAAATAGCTTTTGTCCCCGCTTTTGTTGTTTTACCTATTACAGTACTGTATCCAAATGCTGGTCCCATCCTATTTCCATCTGTATCAATCTTGACTCAACCTTTTAATTGTTCTGCTTGTCCTAACAAATAGACATGAAGAGCAGGCAGGATTTTTTCTTTTAAGATTCTTGCATTGTTGGGTAATTTCATGCTTATGTTGCTGTTACTGTTATTTTTTCATCATGTTGTGACTCTGTATGTTTTGATGTTGTTGTTTGGAAACCGCCCTGAGTCCCCTCGGGGAGATAGAGCAGTATATTAAAAAGTTTTATATTATTATTATTATTATTATTATTATCAACACACTTTAGAATTAATGTAGTTTGACACCACTTGAACTGCCATGGCTAATGCTATGGAATCCTGGGTATGGTAGTTTGATGAGGCATCAACATTCTTTGGCAAAGAAAACTAAACACCTTGTAAAAGTACAACTCCCATTATTCTATAGCAGTGGTTCTTAACCTGGGGTCCCCAGATGTTTTTGTCCTACAACTCCCAGAAATCCCAGCCAGTTTACCAGCTGTTAGGATTTCTGGGAGTTGAAGGCCAAAAACATCTGGGGACCCCAGGTTGAGAATCACTGTTCTATAACTTAATTTAATAGTTTAATGAAGTCCAGTGATGCTTGACTTCTTGGTAAGGGATACAGGATTATAGAGGCTAGACTCAGGTTTGATTTCTTAGGTCCATATACTGTGATAAGAATCATAGGGTTCATCCTGATGTACAGTGAGAGAATACATGGTGAATGTTTTTGAGGAGAGATCAATAATGAAGATGACGTGCACATTTGTAATATCAATTTGTGCACTTTTCTGTTGAAATACAAAGTTTCTGACCATATTTTTCTACCATGCTAACTGCTGCCTGGTTGCTCACACTCTCAAAATGTTCCAGAACATTGACTGAGCTGCTTGCACCTTTATGAAGAATCAGGTAGTCTCCTTTTCCTTAGCTTCACAAAAGAAAAAGCCACAAGAGACATTTCTCTGCACAACAAAATGAAATAAGTATTCTCTGTGTCTTGACCCTCCTCTCATAGGGCTTGTTCTGCCATCTCAAGAACAGTCTGTTTCAACTAGAAACAAGGCACTGACAAAACTTCTTCACATCTCTGCTACAGAGACTAGAACAATCTGTTAAAATACAAGCCTGTCCAAGTCTGCAAGATCTTCCTCCATCAGTCCTACAGCTTTGTATTCACAAACAAAACCTTGTCCTTCGGCAAATTGCTTCATCAGTAGGATTTTGACAATGAACTATGTGTTCAGAAAAGTCCTGCTTTTAACCACATTGTGCACATCTATGGTTCAGTAGCATAGGTTTTGTTCGTATATACTAGCCAATACTTCCAACAGTATCAAAGGTGCTGAAACACCTCTGATATCTCTATCTTCACCACAGTTTTGAGTTCTTGAAAGAAATATTATTCTAAGTAGGCATGCATAGGATTGCTGTTAACATAGTTATGGGGAGAGACATGCATTAAAATGTTGGTGTTGTTGTTGTTGTTGCTTGCAAAGATATACATATTTTTAGACTTTTATTTATTTATTTACCCTATGTCAACCCCAAAGGGGACTCAAGGCGACTTACATATAGGCAATTATTCAATGCCTTAAAATATATACAATTCCAATAAGTTCTCAGATTCCCCCAGTCAACATGGCCACAGTAGCCATAACTGCAATCCTCATGCCATCCGAGGCTGGGAAGGCAGAATTCTCAAGACCTTCCGTCCTCCTTTGCAAAGTAAGCAAGTTCCCCTGCCAGCCACATTTCATTAACAATTCTGACTGAGGATGGGGAAAGAAACATTAAAATGTGATTAGCATAGTTAACTAAACATTGAAATAGCATTCCAGCCACGCTTTTAAGGAGCTTCATACAAACTGCACTTCTGCTCAAGTGAAATAATTGAAACTTACCCAAGAAAAGTGCTGTGCCAAGTGCAACCGTGCTGGTCACAAACACGCCAAGGGCTATCCGGAGAGGTTTGCTGGCTGCTTTCTTGTTGGCTGGCATTGAACTGCCTGCTGCTTCTCCTTCCATCAGGATGGATTTGCAAAGCTCTCTGAAAGAAGTGTACCTTTTCTTCCTCTACCCCTCTTTGTTTCCTCTTTGGTTACAGAGAAGTCTTATCCATGAGTACCTCCTTTTCCAATCCTTCCTATTGGTTATAAGTAACAGTTGCTGTCTGGACCCATTTCCAAGTCCCTCACTCTTCCCAAAAAGAGGGTGGGGAAAACAACATAAAAAAGCAGTATTAGATTTCTTTTCTGGCCAAGGCTTGGAGAGAAACATGCAGTGACAACTTAATTTATAGCTCTTGCTGGTTGCAAGCAGACCCACTTTTTTATCAGCAGTTCAGAAGGACAAGCATTTCACAATGCTCCCCAAGCAGATGGTTACATTCACCATTCCAACTTCCAGAGATTAAAAATACATACATAAATCTCCCTGCCAAAAATTGGATTTTTGGCACACTGTTTTTCAGTCACTATCTTGGCAGGAGTGTTCCTTTGCACCTATTTAAGGGACCTAATTATTTTGCTGACCCTCTATTTCATTTTCCTCTGGCTGCACCATTCCTCTTTCCTGAAGAAAGACATCCTGTCCAAGTGCAAATCTCTTTTTAAAGCGCCCGAGGATTTCTTGGGATATCTCAGAGGGTGTTTATTTTGGGAAGCTTGTGTACCATGCCAAGTGCCAAACTTCCGAGTCATGCTTAAAAGAAGGCAAAGCAGTTATTAAAACAACCTACACAAGGGTTTTGTGTATGTGTTTAAAAAGACGCACACACCACATGGGTAAGTTATATTTCAGTGTCTGTGCTCCTTTTGTAAATTCTGTCCAAATACAATCCTCTGTTCCGAGAAAGAAAGCTGAGAGGAACTACTCTTGTGTGGACAGCAAGACTGAACTATGTTAAAGAACAGCATTTATTCCCTTGTGATGTTACAGGATTTCACATTTTCAGATGTTAATATTCCTTCTAAAAAGACTGGATCCAATGGCCACGACCAAATATAGTCTCTTTTCTTAACACTCTTTGACAGAAACAGCAACTTGAGATGCTGAGACAGAGAAATGTAATATTACATACAATTAGAACTGAAGAACATTTGGCCCTTAGTGTTTTGCGCTATAGCTGCCAGAGTCTATGGTCACTGGAATTCTAATAAGAACTGCAAGGGCCACATGGTCCCCATGACATGTTACATGGATGCGTAGATTTATTTGTGCAAGGGTAGGGGGAATGTCAGCCTGCTTTAACTTTCTCCCTTACCCCATGTTACCATTTTAACATCCCACATACCCACAGCAGTTCCTGTTTGTTGTGAGATGGATACCAATATTGCTAACAACCAATTCTTTCCCTAACTTCTGTAGCTTAGTATTTGGGCATGTCTTTTTTGTTTATCTTCCTGAATTCTTTGGAGGAAGGGTAGTATATAAATGTTTCAAACCGATAAATAGACATGTCATACATTCTAGGGAGGAGCCCTGGCACTCAGAACATATTGGAGAAGTCCACCCTCCTAAACATTTCAACTCTACCCAAGCCAAGATCTGGCACTGTTATCCTTGTTTCCCAGAGCCTTTTGCTACAAAGAGTGGTTTAAAGGGGCATTCCCTAAATAGTTTCCATTCATTTTCCTTTCCTAGATGAAATTCTCATGGGAGAGTAATGCCTTTAGATTTCAGTCTTCCTTTAAAACTTAGCCTAATTTCATTCATCTGTTTTTTTCTGCATTTATAAATATTTTCATTTATAAATGCAGAAAAAAACAGATGAATGAAATCCAGGGGATTTGGGTGAAGGTGAAACCAGTTAAAATCAGGGTAGCGAGAAGTATGCAGATTTTCAACTGGTTGCAGTTCTGTGAAATTTTTCACCTCCACCCAAATCCCCTGGTGGTTCCAAAAAGTTGGAAATGTTAAAGATCTTTTGCTTCTTTGAGAACAAAATCTACCTTCTGGCTGTGATTGAACATTGTTGTCAAAAAATGACCCCCCCCCCTCCCAAAACAATAACTTAATTCAAGTTTCAAAACCAAAATATGGATTGTATTATATATTTTTACATTATACTAAGTTTCGCAATATCAAAGCCACACCTTTTTGATGGTCTGCAATAGACTTCATTTCCAGTAGTCCAGCCAGAAACAATACATTCCAGAGGAGATTAGTTAATCTTTCACCAGAATAATCCCCAAGGAGAAAGAAATGAAGAGGAAATGTGTGCCCAAGAAACCCACAACAACGTGCCTATCCCAAAATCCTCTAACCAAATGAATTTTGTTCTGTGCTTCCAAACTATATCTCTCTGGTTTCTCACAAAATGTCATTTGTATCATGCACATGGTTATAACCCTTTTGATAATAGCAAGACTGCTTATAGCAAGGAATTGGAAAAGGGAAATAAATATACAAATAAATACATCATATAAAAATAACAACAATAACAACAATAACAACAATAACAACAACAACAACGAAGAAATTTCCAATAGCTTGTTTTAAAAGGTTCCTAGTGTGTTTTATCAGCTTCTCGAATAACTATTGACCACCTGAAGTAGATTTTACCATCAAAATATATTATAGAATAAAAGCAATGTGATTTGAACCTTTTACCTTTGGATGTAGGCCAAACATAGTTTCATGTCCTCATTGGGGTGTGTGTGTACATGCGCGCACGCGCACACACACATGTAAGCTCCCAGCAGCCGCCCCAAGAATGACACAGGATGCCGATCCGTAATCAATCAGGAAACTTTTACTACTGGATATGCATACACAACGAAAGCCAGGATTGGCACACAGTCTCAAGTTAACCCTTATATACCCTCCCCCGTATTCGAATCCCCTTTTCCCGCCGACCGTAGTTCCCGCTCAATGTTCCTCGCCAACCACCAACTGCTCCTCCCAAGGCCACCAGCTGCATACTCTTATCGGCTCTCCATGTCAGGATTCTGTTTTTTTGCGCCAATGTCCAAGGCCAGGAAACCGAACCCTGACATGACGTCCCCCTCCTCCTCCTCTTCTTCCTGGAAGGGAATTATACAATAACATCATGTTCCTTCTTTATCCAGGGGGCCTTGGTATTTCTTTAATAGGCTACAATGAAATGTTGGGTGTACCTTCCCCAAAACCCTTGGCAGTTTCAACGTATATGTCACATCATTTATCTTATTGGAAATCCTAAACGGACCGATGTATTTAGGAGATAATTTTCGGGAGGGGGTATTCAACTTGAGGTTTTTGGTGCTCAGCCACACCAGTTCCCCTTCTTCCAACTTATCACCCTCCCTCCTTTTCCTATCTGCAAATAACTTATACCTTCGTTGGGCTTCTCGGAGCGAATTCGTCACTTCTTCCCAATTCGCTTTCACTTTATCTGGCCACCCTTCCTTTCCCCATGGCTCCTCCCCCCAGCTCGGCAACTTAGGCAAAGGGGTTACTTCCATGCCGTATACTATCTCAAAAGGGGATTTTCCCGTGGATGCGTGACAGGCTCCATTGTATGCGATTTCTGCAAACGGAAGTAAGTCAGCCCAATCGGTTTGGCAATGGTTTGTGTATGTCCTTAGGAACAACCCCAAAGTCTGTTGTGTGCGCTCGACTCCCCCATTGGTCATGGGATGGAATGCTGAACTCAAGGTTCTTTCTACTCCCATCAATTGCATGAAACCTTCCCAGAATCGGGCCGTAAATTGCACCCCTCGATCACTGATCACCTGTTCAGGGCAGCCATGCAGCCGATATATATGTTTGATAAACAACTCAGCCAACTTTTCTGCAGATGGCAACTTAGGCAGCGCTATGAAATGTGCCTGCTTTGAGAATAAGTCCATTACTGTCCATATGTATCGTTGGCCTCGGCTAATTGGAAGTTCGCCCACAAAGTCCATAGCAATTACCCTCCAAGGTTGTGATGGCTCTGCCACCTTTTGCAATAACCCCGTTGGCTTCTGTGTGGTTGCCTTACTTTGTGCACACGCATTACATCGGGATACATACAATTTGGTGTCACCCCTCATCCCGGGCCACCAACATTGACGTGCCAACATTTTTAGGGTTTTTGTCATTCCCCAGTGCCCTGCTCCCTTGCTGCCATGACACCTAACCAACATTTTTTCCCTTAGGTTGCCTGGGATGTATAATTTCCTGTTTACAAACCCCAATCCGTCCTTCCATTCCACCTTTTCCTTGTTTCTCTCCAACCACTCATCCTCCTTGCATGCTTGCCTTAACTCCTCTTCCCATCCCCCGTCTTTGCTCTCAACTCCTACCAGCCTTTGGTTGCGCTCCGTCTGTGCTCGAGTTTGCACTGCCATGCCCCACTGTTGTTCCGAAAATATGCTCCCCTTTGGGCCTTGCCCCCTCCCTTCCTTCTCCAGGAATCTTGACAGTGCATCTGCGACCACATTTTGCTTCCCTTTTTGAAACCTTAGCTTAAAATCAAATCTGCTGAAGAACTGCCCCCATCTTATCTGTTTTGCCGATAATCTTCTGGGCGAAGTGATATATTGTAAATTTTTATGGTCGGTCCATACCTCAAAGGGTATGCCGCTTCCCTCCAACAAGTGTCTCCATGTCTCCAGGGCCCTCAAGATCGACAAGGCTTCCTTTTCCCACACTGGCCAGTTCCGTTCAGTTTCGCTGAATTTCTTTGAGATGAACCCGCAGGGTTTCAACCTCCCCTCCCCATCTCTCTGCATCAAGGCTGCCCCATACGCCCAATCTGACGCGTCACAGTGAATCACGAACGACTTACTCAGATCAGGGTGGCTTAGGACCGGTTCCTCTGTGAACCGGCGTTTCAGTTCCTCAAATGCCTTCTGGCACTCTGGTGACCAATTTAATTTTGCTCCCGGGGATCGTACCTTCACCGTTTCCCCCTTTCCCTTTGTCTTTAGCAGTTCGGTTAAGGGTAGAGTTACTTGGGCAAAATCCTCTATGAACCCTCGGTAGAAATTTGCAAACCCGAGGAAGGATTGCAGTTGCTTGCGTGTTTGGGGATGGCTCCATTCCCTAACATCCTCTACCTTTGACGGATCCATTGCTATTCCGCCCTTGGAGATTCGGTACCCCAGGAAATCTATCTGTTCCTTATTGAACTCACACTTTGCCAGCTTCGCGAACAATTTTGCCTCCCTCAATTTCTGGAGCACCTCCCTCACCAACCTAACATGAGATCGTCTATCACAGCTAAACACGATTACATCATCCACAAAGCAATAAACCCCGCGATACAATAATGGGTGCAAAACCTCATTGTTCATTTGCATAAATGCCGATCCAGAGCCTTTAAGTACAAAAGGGCAGACAGAATATTCAAAATGGCCGAGCG